TCCAAAGCACACACACACACACACACACACACACACACACACACACACACACATAAAACGTATTCATTTGGATTTTATTGGCTATGTGATTGTTTTTATTTTAATATTTTATACTTGGCGTTCGATTTCGTTTTGCCATTTCAAAAAATCTCATAAAAATTATATATAAAATGGGAAAATTTTACTCTCTCTCTCTCTCTCTCTCTCTCTCTCTCTGTCTGTCTGTCTGCCCTGTCATCGCAAAGTACTCTTATTTTGTTGAAGAGTACAATATTTATTTTCCTGTTTTGTAATTTGAGATCTAGTAACACGATGGCATCAATTATTTGATGGCTGCCTTTGACCACAAATTGAAAATGTTTGGAAATGTAATCTGTAAAGGAAATTGAAAATTGCCAATTGGCATAAGTGCCGACGTTTTTTATATGAAACGTCCATTGCCATCACGGCGAGTCATTCCTAACACATTCTGAGTGTCTTGTAGGCATAATTGGCCAAATATATGTATTAGAAAACATTATGGAGATCTACAATTTAATTCCGAGATATACTCGTATTTTGTATACTTTGACCCCTTGTCGTTTTGCCCTTGCCAAAGTTCTTTTTGTTTATTCATGCTATCGGAACATGCTAGAGCTTTCGCTCTCCCGTATTTATCACTCTGCATGAGTATATCTCTCTCTGCCTATGGCACACTCGCTGTAAAACTATCCATCTCCCTCTCTCCACATAGCAGTACCGCTCGCTCTCCCGCTCAAAGCCAAGCATGATAGAACATGCTTTTGCCAGCAAAAGCTTCGTAGCGATCTGCCGTAGTTCGCTCTCTCTCTGCCTCCCTCCCTCCCTCCCTCCCACTCTTCGTTTTGCTTTCGCGAGGTGTCTGCTCTCACCTTAGCGGCTGTATCCCGATTGTTGTTGGTGTTGTTGTTCTTGCCGGCTGAATGGCTGATTAAAGTTCAGTCCCGTGTCTGCGCCTCGACATCGTCCGAGTCGAGTGGGATTTAATCGGCCTCTGGGGCCAAACACGCTTTAGTTTTGTTTACGCGCTAGTGGCGTGCACTTCCCCAGTTCCCACTCTCTCTCTCTCTCTCTCTCTCTCTCTCACTCTCTCTCTGTTAATTTAGTTATTGCATAAAAATAGACAACTTTTCCCACTGCTTAATGACACGCGTGTGTCGGATTTAGTTGAGAGATTGTGCCATTTATTACGGACCAAATCCCCAATACACAATGACATCCACGGCGGGTGGCGGTGCCGCGGCAGGAGGCGGTGGCGGGGACGGTGATGGAAAACAGATTGAGCAACATGAACAGGTAATTATGGTATACGATTGGACAGAGTGTGCGTTCTTTGCGTTCTGTGCGATCTGGGAGAGTGTTTGCTGTCGTGTCATAAAAAGTTATTGAATGTTATACGCGACCTTATCGCGCGGGGGCCAAGTAGATTTCCCCATGAAAATCCACAGACATATGTACCCCGCCCCTCTACCTTTGGACGCAATTGCATTCTTATCGCCTTGGACTCACCTGATAAGATTCCCTCCCGCCGCCCTCGAAGCGGAATCAAAGTCAATGGCTACCGATGGAATTTGCAAAGTGGAGTGATTTTTTGTTTGTTTGTTTTTCGTTCGGCACAAAACCCTAGACACACACGACCACACGACCAAAGTGGTGGGTGGGCGGGCCTTTTGTGTGTTATGAGGAGCTCATTAGGGGAGTTCATCAAAGTGTCGGCGTAGGAAACTTTGCTTGCCGTAAAAGTTTCACAGACAAAGCTTTGCGCTCTCGCTCTCTCTCTCTCGCGATTGCTCTGCATACTTGAGAGAGCATTTTGGCGCTAATTTTCAAGCTGAGCGACCGAACAAAAGTAAAGTTTTGCATGTGCAACATCAGTCAATTGCTGAGACAGTGAAATCTGCCACTAAAGAATCTAGACAGCAGCTCCATTAAGCGCGCACGTTTCAATGCTCCTCGTACACCTCTTGGTACACCTGTTGTTCCCTCGGCAGAACCCCCACTGTACCCCTATCGATTGATACGCCTGGGGAACAAGCACACACATATCCCCTCCAAAAAAAAACTAGATGATAAATTGTTGCAAGGGAGAATGCTCGGTGGGGCCTGTCCGCCTGTCCGTCAATTGACACCTGGGCCCCAACTCAGTTGTCAACCGATTCAACTTTTTCACACAAAGCGATTGATCAAACCGAGCCCCAGCAGATGAGGCGGTGGCAATGGTTGCGAGTGGGAATCGAAAGGAAATGCCAGAGGCACATTTTCCACCTATAACCAGGTTGGTTTTCCTGCCGGACGGGACGGGACAGGACGGGACAGGACAGGACAGGACAGACACGGACACGGTCACGGACAGGAGAGAACAGCAGGCCGACAGGCTACCAGCTACCTCACTGGCAATTAACAGCTAACAAGGAGAACGAACCCCTCCCTATCTAACCCTTCAGCCATCTCTCTCTCTCTCTCTCTCTCTCGCTCACATACCCTATGCCCTGCTCGTTGCAGGAACCCATGGATGTGCGCATCGATATGCCGTGGGGTTATGTGGTCGGCCGCTGGTACGGCAATCGCCAGGTACGTCCCATCCTGGCCCTCCACGGCTGGCTGGACAATTTAGGGACGTGGAACGAGCTGCTGCCGCTGCTGCCCACGCACCTGGGCGTGCTCTGCATTGACCTGCCCGGCCACGGCTACTCCTCGAAGCTGCCCGAGGGGATTGCCTACCACTTTGTGGACTACCTGTGCGTGATCCTGCGCATCATGGAGGAGTACGGCTGGCAGAAGGTGTCGCTGATGGCCCACTCCATGAGCGCCATGCTCTGCTTTGTCTTTGCCTCGCTCTATCCGCACCGCATGGACCTGCTCATCAGCGTGGACATCGTGAAGACGCGCTACCGCAAGCCCGCCTCGCAGATTGATTACCTGCGCACCAACATCGAGGGCTACATGCTGGAGGACGAGCGCTTCGCCAACGCCAAGCGGCAGGAGCCCCCCTCCTACACCTACGCGGAGCTGGAGCAGGTCCTGCACAAGGGCTCCGATCGGTCGGTGCTCCTCGAGAACTGCCACCACATACTCGAGCGGAACGTGACCAAGTCCACCAAGTACCCGGACAAGTACTTCTTCTCCCGCGACGGACGCTGCAAATACTACAACGAGTTCCACACGAGCCCCCCCTTTGCCGCGGAGCTGGCGCGCACCATTCGCAACGTTCCGTACTGCGTGATCAAGGGCTCCGAGTCGCACTTCATCGATGAGCAGAGCGACGAGGTCATCGCCATTCTGCGCGAGAACAATCCCCACTTCGAGCTCCACGAGGTGCAGGGCACCCACCACGTGCACCTCAACAATGCCGCCGGTGTGGCGGCCATCATCAATCCGTTCATCATGCGCCACCGTCCGCCGCAACTGGAGACGTGGACGGTCGACAGCGACCAGGGCGAGGACCTGCCCGACGCCGTCAAGGAGTTCAAGCTCGCGGTGGAGGACTCAGAGAACGTCAAGCGGAGAAAGAGAAAAAGCAACCTATAGCTGCTGTCGGCATCTCTGATTAGCAGCGCGAAAAGAGAACCTTTGTTTCTGCACTACCCGCAAATGGTACAGAATTTGATATTTGATTTTGATTATGATTTTGATTGTGATTGCGTGCGTGATGCTTCAAGCGATAATTTTGCGTGAAAATATAGTTTTAATTAAACCATAATTGTATTTCGTATTCAAGGGTCTGTTGTGTTTTCAACTGTCAAAATGGTTGGCCATACGCAAGTGCAGGGGGAGTGTGCACTGGGAGAAAGGCACTACCACCTAATCGGACCTTCTATATAGAGATGATCGGAATCGGAATCTGGCATCATCGGCAACAATCACTCTTCCATCTTACCGAAAGACTGGCTGCCTGCTCGGGGCTAATCCCCTCTCTGCTCGATTCCAACTTCATTTCAGGCCACACTCGAAGTTTGTTCAAGTGCACGCTACCCGCATACCCGCCTTATGTGTGAAACACACACCTTTTTCCACCCACGAGAGTATCTCTATCTGTGGTTTCGGCCTGACCGCACAGCATATTGAGCTGCCGCCCGAAACCGCAACCTAAATTGGTTTAAATAATTTTCCCCATTTATTTTTCTTTGCGCTCTTTGGTTCGTTGGGGTTTGCTCTGGGTTTTGGGGTTTGGGGTTTGGTGGCAGCGGCAGTGATGGGTAGTGTTGGGTAGTGCACCTTTTTTCGATCAATCAATTTTCGTTTAGGTTTTTGGCCATTTAATTTCGCTTTAATCTTTCGGGACGCAGTTCATTGGCCACTTCATTAGTGATAAGGGGATCGGAAATGCTGCTGGATCCACGCTCCTGGCTGCTGGCTGCTGGCTCCTCCTGGATGGCTGGGAATGAACCCCAACAAAGGATGTCCCGGCATCCACTTAAAAACAATGGCGAGGCAAAAACAAAAGAACCTTGTTCGCTCTTCCTCTAAGCCCCTCCCCCCCCCCCCCCCCCCTCCCTCTCTTTCTGTGTGCTTGTGGGTGGATTACCCTGTGGGTGCCGGAAGGTATGCTATACCCTAAGCACCCAGACGTGAACGAGCGAGAGAGAGAGAAAGAGAGAAATCGAACCCGTAGCCGAATCGCATCCGTACGGATGGTGGAGGGAGAATGAAGCCCCTGCGGACTCACGAGGCTTGAAAAAATAAACAAATTTAACGCTTTTATTGCCTTTGCACGTTGCGGATCCGTTGCCGACTACGGGCACCGCTCCGCCCCCTACCCCGGAGTGTTCCGTGTTCAGTTTTCTACGTAAATTAAATTAGGTAGAACCGGAAAAATGTTGCCGAGCAGCCAAAGATGCGATTACGCTTTTTCCCGTCGTTACGAAATTGATAGCGGATATAAATGTTTAATGTTTTGGCAATAAAAATGTAAGGGTGCTCACGGGAGGGGCCCAGGGTATCCAGGGGTATCCTCTCCACTGATAAAGCGACTTTATGATAAATTCAGTTTGCGGTTTTACGCACAATTTAATTTGCTTAAAAATCAATAAAAATCATTAACATTGTTTCCTCGAGAGCAGGTTTTTAGCGGAGACGCTGGAGAATAATATAATGCTGCTCATAAATAATTAATAATCTTTTGTTGGGTAAAGGCTTGCAGCAGATTTGTATCCCAGCAAGCCAGCAACCCAGCAACCCAGCAACGCAGCTGCAGATTATTCTCGTAAATATTTGATGGTAAAAATTATCATTAGCTTGTGGTCAAAGGAAATTAGTTTTCCAGGGAATTAGCAAGAGTAATGCTTCATTTTCCATCGCAAACAATGGGGAAGCCATCGATGAGTAATGGCGGAAAGAAATGAGGGATTGGAAAGTAAAGCACTTTGTTGTCAGAACTTCAGCTTGGGACTGTCGGGGGTGTCGATGAGGCCACTAATCGGATACTGCTGGAAGATGCGACTCTTGGACAGCCGCACGGACTGCAGCTCGTGGGGCGGTTTGTTGTGGGCCAGGAAGTGGTTCGTCGCCCAGAACTGCGTCTGTTCCGCGGCGGAGGAGAGGCGTCGTATGCCCAGCAGGCGATTGCGCACGTCCACGAGGCTGGCGGAGTAGGGCTGCAGCCACTGCACCACGGGGACGGCCAGAGAGGTGAGCACCAGCGAGACCACACTGACCGCCAGCAGGGCCGTCCAAGTGTCATCCACATTCGCCTCGTACTTGTGGCCCTCGAGGATGCCCAGCTGCAGCACGAAGCCGGTGGCCAGGGCCAGCTCCGTGTAGAGGAAGGGCGAGCACTCGAGCAGCCAGTGGAGGGCCTGGCTGGAGAGGACGCCCACGGTGGCGTAGATGAGGCACAGGAAGAGGAAGCAGTGCTCCGACTGCTCCTCGCTGTAGATGCACAGCAGGGCCACGATCAGCGTGACTTGGATGACCCCAAAGAGGAGGTACACCAGCTTGGGGGTGTAGCGCATCAGCAGCAGAGCCCCGAGACCACAGCCGCCGGCGTACAGGACGAACGGCGTGAAGAGCTGCGTCCGCTGCACATAGCCCGTGGTGGCACTCCACATCAGCTGCAGGTAGGTGGGGGAGAAGAGCAGGCAGCTCCTCTGCAGCACCACCAGGAAGCCCCCGAGGACCAGGACCAGCCACTGCCTGTCGGCCAGCAGCCGGTAGTCGGTGCGTCCCACGAACTGTGCGAGCACCGCCTGACGGGGCAGGAACACCATCCGCTCTTCGTTCAGCAGGTTGAAGACCAGGTCCGGCGACTCCTTGTAGTTGTGGCAGCCCAGGTGCTGCAGCAGCTCGTTGAGGCACACCACAGAAACCAGCAGCAGGTCGATCCCGAGGGTAATCAGCCCGCAGCGCTGCGGTTCCATCTCGTTGAAGACCACAAATCCGCTGGCCAGGCCGCAGGCATGCAGGGCGTTCGCCAGGGCGATCCTGGCGGGTCGCAGTCCCGAGGCGTCGCATCGCAGGCTCACGTAGCTAAAGCCCGCCAGGTACACGACGCTCAGGCCCACGAAGTGGAAGTAGTAGCTAACGGCTGGGAGATCGAGTTAGACGGGGGGTTTCCATCGCATCTGCATGACTCACCCAACTGCTTGGTGAGCATGAAGCAGCTCCCCATCAGCGAGCACAACAGGCCGTAGAAGATGACGTAGTAGTGATCGTAACTGTACTTCTGCCTCTTGTGCTTCCGCAGGGTCCAGCCCAGGGCCAGGGCTAAGGTGACGGCGCCGCCCACCAGAGCGTACCAGTGTGGCCACAGATTGTCGTACACATACGCGGACTTTGAGTAGTAGCCCAAGGAGAAACCACTCGCCCACAGGCAGGCCAATGCTTGAGAAGAGAAGCCACACATGAGACAGTGAGTGACAGAGACAGAGACACGTGAAAGTGATGTATCGGAAACATACCCAGCAAATCGGGCATCGAAAACATCGCCACGAGGCGTGTCCGCACGCTGTGCACCTTCGAAGGCAGGTTCATCGTCTAGCTCGCTGTCACATCTACTCCGATGGGGAATAGAAATCGAAATCGAAATGGAAATGGAAATGCATCCCCCGCTTTGGGGCCTTGCGGTGGTTTATTGGTTATCAATGGCACAGCACAGCACAGCACAGCGCCGATAGCGCATCTTGTCGCAAATGCCTCTCCAATCGGTTCAGATAAGATAAATGTCGTACCCAGAACAAGCGACACCCTAATTAAACAGCACCAACGATGATGATGACGATGACGATGTTTGCGAGTTTTGGTCCACAGAAGGACAGAGAGAGACAGAGAGAGAGACAGAGAGAGAGACAGAGAGAGAGAGAGAGAGGACACCTGTTGTGGAATGGAATAGGAATAGGAATGGGTGGGGCAGGGCATGGCACGACTGATAGCAGAAGAGCAGCGAAATTGCTAAAGACAGAAGCAGTGGATGAAGAAATTATTTATAGCAAAAGATTCCATTGAAAGTCAATGGATGATTAAAGAGTAGAACAGAGTTAAATATAACTTTCTTTTGAGAATAAACCTATATATAGATGAACATCAATCGTTGCTAATTAAAGCAATGATTCATATACTAGAGCCCTGCATGAATCCACAATCACAACTATCTGCATGCCTCTTTTATCTCTTTCGATCATTACGAATCCTTCCTTTAGTCCGATTCGGATCAACCTGAATCACAAAGAACTGAGTGCAAGCACTGCGGTGAGTGAGCGAGATAAAAAAACCGAAATTTTCGGATTTGTCGCAGTAAAAATGAGGATGCCTGGAGAATACCGAAGCGAATCCATTCGGTAAATGAAGCTCTACTTCTTGTGTTGAGATAATTCCCTTCAAAATGAATGATTCCATCAATATGACATCCCCTGACACACAGCTATTTTACTGAATTCAAATTCATTCAAATGCGAAATGAAAGATTCAACCGAAATGGTGTTCCTTTCTACCCGTGCATCCCCCACATCTATGTAAATACGCTGTGAGTGTCTCTATCTCTATCTCTATCTGTGTCTCTATCTGTGTCTCTATCGCAGCACCTGCACTCCACAACTAACCCAAATTAACCCACGAGGAGCATGACACAGTTTTCATCTCGTAAAAGTCTGTGGTGCTGCTTCACTCCTCTGCTCTTCAGTGTCCCCCTCTCGCGCGACGCCCCTCCTCTTCGTCGTGGTGAATCCTCATCTAAAAACCCGCGTTAAGTGCATTCTTATTTACCGCAAGCCCCAAAAGCATGCTACACGTTTTTGTGTGCGTTCTGCTTTTGGGAGCAGGTAGTTGCACCTTCCCCCCCTGCATCCCCGCAGTGTGCCCCCCCTCACCCGTGCCCCTGCGTTGAATAGAGAGAAACGAGCAGACAGCAGCAAGCAGCAGCAGCGGTACGCTAATTAGTTGAAGTTGTGCTGCAAGTGTTGCAGTTAATTGACTTTTGACGACCCGTTGTCGCTGCCCCCCTCTCGCCGCTCTCCATCACGCCGTGTTCTCCTCTGTCCTTCGAGGCGAGAAGGAGCTGCGCCTGGGGCTGTGGCTGGGGTCGTGGCAAATCCTTGGTTTACCCGCTATATCCGCCAAGTCATAGCTTTTTATGTGAGAGATTCCCTTTGGCTGCACTTTTTCCTGTTTCTTTTTGCGGTCTCGACTTTGGCCAAAGTTCATTCGGATTTACTTTTCGAGACGCTTATGAATTCAATGAAGCAAACACTAAGCTGCCTCTCAGCGTTGCTCATTCCTCTACCCTCCCCCTCCCCCCACCCCTTCCCCACACTCTTTCCCCCCCGCCCGCTCTGTATCTGAGGGGGAAAGCTTAAAGTGTTGCCAGCAGGAGGACTATCTATCTTTTCTTTTCCTTTCTTTTCCTTTTGGCTCATCTTATCCCGTTTCTCCTTTGACTTCTTAACAAGATTTGCGCTGTAATTACGCATTAAATAACTCTCTGCATCGGAAGCTGCTTCTCGGACAAAATGCAATCTCCTTCTGGTGCTGGTGCTGGTGCTGGTGCTGCCTGCTTCTGGTGCTGCCTGCTGTTGCATAAACATTTCACGTCTCTTTGGCCATAAAACTAAACACATTGGCCTGGCCATAATAATAAATTCAGCTTAGAGGCAGCTGCACGAAGATGCGCAGCCTGTGCAAATAATAGCAAAATGGAATTACATTCTAATGGCCGCGAATCGACCATTTGATGGCCACTAATGTCGTTTGAACAGTGCCACAACGGGCGAGGACGCCACTGTGCTGGAGAGCAACGAAATGCAATTCTCTTGATGCTCTTCGCCAGGGATCGCTCTCTCCCGAGCATACAAACGAGTATATCCATACAGTCCCGTAATGCACATTGATCCCACCCCAGCTTAGAGTACTTTGGCTCTTTCGCTCTAGCTTCAGCCGAAGACAAGGCTGGCGATTGCCAGCCGAAGGCCACGCTTGCGATTGCCAGCCGAAGACAAGGCTCGCGATTGCCAGCCGAAGACAACGCTTGCGATTGCCAGCCGAAGACAACTCTTGCTAGTGCCAGCCGAAGACAACTCTTGCTAGTGCCAGCCGAAGTCTCTCGCGTGTTTCGCTCTCTTCTTCTTTCGCCAAAGAGAGCCCTGCGAACGCGACGCTCGATCTGTTGCTTACCCTAGCAGCGCAGCAGCCTGATCTTCATTTGTGTTCCTCCCTTTGCCGGCATTGTCGTCCCGCCTGTCCGGCATACCCTGTCATACCCTTGCAACAACTGTGATGACGACACAACAACGACTCCGTCTCTCTGGAGGCGGGGAGAGTGCATTTAATTTCGCTGAAGCGGCCACTTAGTGGCCCTCGACAAGGCGGCGGTGGGGCGCACTCCTTCCTTCCTTCCTTCCGTTCGTATAGCTAGTGTTGTTCCTGTTGCTGGTTACCCAGCAGCTGTTGCAGTTGTTGCTGTTGCTGTTGCTGTTGTTACTTTGTTGCCTGTTCCTGTTGTGGTGCTGCATAAATTAAATTAAAGCTAGTGCGCCACTGAGCCACGGCCACACCGCTACACCCGCCACACCCGCCACACCCGCCACACGGCCTTACTGCTGCCGCAACGCCACACAACAATTACTCAGCGAACAAACGCCTAAATCATGTTGCACGTGGCTGCCGCACACCGCACACCGCCTCTCCCTGACCTTCAGACATTTGCAAATGTGTAAACATTTTTCAGAGGCCCGCCGCCTGGTCACACTCACAGGGAGCGGAGTGCACGGAGGAGCTGCAGCAGGAGCGGGAGCGGGAGCAGGAGCTGGAGCTGGTGCTGGAGCTGGAGTGCGTGCTCTCTCCATGTGTCACAGATACTTTGCACTGATTTATGCAAATTGCCTGACCAGCGTGAACGAGGAGGAGAAAAATCATGAAAAATCGTTAATTGTGCAAAGTGCTCGACGTTTTTCATTAAAGTTTTCCTTTGCTTTTCCTCTGCACATTTCTCACACACACACACACACACACACATGCATGAGAGGGCTTTGGATGGCAGCTCTGGCGGCGCCTTTCTCTCCCTCTCTCTCCCTCTCTCTCTCTCGCCTGACTCTCAGCAATTATGTAAATTTTTAAGAGCGCAGCAAAAGTTAATGCTGCTTGCTGCTTGCTGAATATTTGCATTAAAATTGATGCACTTTAAAGCATTCGGGCGAAAGGCATTGCCGAATACCCTGTAATGCGGCCGGGCAGAGTGATTTGGGCATAGAAAGAACCCCAGAAGAGCTGCCTAAATGCTGCATTCTATGCGATGCCCTCCTCGAAGGGACAATCGTCGATTTGCGGTCCCATGAGGTATCCCCGTGTCGTTGCTTTCTTCATATTTGTGTAATTTTCTCTTAGTTTCTTGCTGTTGCTTTCTTATCGCCGACCATTTTTGTTTCTGCAATAATTTTATGCAATGCAGCTGCAACAAAGTGCATTTTAAATGTCTGCCCCATGCGATTTGTGTGTTAATTTTTCATGAGTCAGCATTCAGGCAGGCAGCGGGCAGGAGCTACATACTGCTCCTCCATTCCTCCTCCATTCAAGGAGAGTAATAGGAGGAGGCCATAGAAGGAGAGCGTGGGGGAGAGCGTGGGGGAGGTGGAGACCAAAGCCCAGAGCCATTAAATTAACCCTTTGACGATCTTCTTTCATCCTCTGCTGACGGCTAACTGACGATTGAGAAAATTGCACAAATTGTCATCTGCTGCTGTCGCTGCTTCTGTCGCTGCCGCTGCTGCTGATGATTGGGAAAATTGCATTTTCTTTCCTTTTTTGATGTTAGCTTTCAATTAAAATTTTGTGCTTTCACTAGAGAGAAAGCGAGATAGAGTAAGATTAGTAGCAAAGAGAGACGACCTCATCTATTATTAGTCCAGAAACACACACACACACACACACACACACTCGTATATATTTTTATTCTCGCACTGAAGTTGATTTCATTTCGGCTTCTCCCGTTTTTCCTCGCTTTATGATTGTCAAGGCTCCTTCCTTGCTGTGTCCTTTAATCAAATGGCGGGCTATGAATAATTTTATGAACACGAATTATTTTTATCTAAACAATGTCCGCAGCCAGCCATGCGATGCCCCGAGGTGCAATTACTCAGGTTCAACGAGTTTTCCAAGAAAATTATTAGCCAATCCGAGAGAGACGCAGAAAAGAGCTAGAGGAAAGCAGCAGAAGGGGCCAAGGAGAGTGTTCCACAGGGCAGGCACAGGGGGGGCAGGTGGAAGAGCACTCTTGCCCCACCCTCGGGAGGAGAGAGGAGAGACAGACACTGCGATGGCACGACAGGCTGCAGGTTTTATTTGCCAAAAGATACGATTTATGCACCCATCACACCATCACACAATGTACGCCGAGCATGTGTCTGTATCTGTATCTGTATCTGTATCTCCATAGCTGACACGAGTATCTTCCGCTGATACTGTGCGTGTGTGTGTGTGTGACAGACGAAACTTAATAAGCGAAACAGCTGTAAAAGTGCGAAAGGAGTGCCGCGTCGCAGGAGAAACTACAC